GTTTCATGGGTATCGTAGCCCCATATTTCTCTTTCGAATGGTGAAAACCGCACCTCTCTATCTATCACCGTTCCGGAGCTATAAGGTCAACACTGACCGGCCATTCTATTTTGAAATGGATAGTAGTAAGGCAGCTTCACCACTGGTTCTACGCCTCTACTACCTGTAGATTGTCGGTATTGTTCACTGCAGGACGAGAATAAAGTTCGCAAAAATTAAATTACATACGAAGATACTAGAGAGCACGATATTAACCATGTTTGCATAAATTCCGCTTTTTCAAACTGATCTCAAGCAAAATACGAAGTTTTCGATCTTTTTTCCTCTATAAAAGTTGCATTCAGTTCGAACTCTTTAAGTGGTAGAAGATAGAGCAGCTCGAGTGCTAGTAATATGCATCAAAATCCTTTACATACCTGTCTTGATAAAGCACTAGAAGCACTCACAAAAGAATCGAAGATGTGAGTCTCGCTTGACTCCCGTTTGGAAGAGGACACTTTGCACTGTCTGTCTATGAAAAAAAGTCAAACCATTTGTATTTCAAGTTTTTGAGCAATGTCCTGGTTTTCCGAAAATCTCCAGAAAAACATGCTTTAGGAAAAGATTCTGAAAATGACTTTTATTGTGAAAAGATGCAGTTAGGTCCTAGCTTTCGATTAGTGAAGACCGCAGCATCCACCATTCTTCTGCCAAACGTTATTCAAAAAACATCCGAGTCCATTCTTTATTTTTACCGACAATAGTAATGGTAACGATTCAAGCGTTACTGTAACGGTTAAATCAAATGAATAACTTTGAAGTTTACTTAATATGAATTCTGACTGAAGATGTTAACTGCGAGCATTATTCTTATTCATAATTCTTTTAATACTATCAAGTCATACAAATCTCATTTTTCAGCATATTTTTCAAAGTCGAATTATAGGTTTTCCAAAAATCCCTGCTTTTTCAGGTGTTTTCCATTTTTCTCAGTTCAGGAGCACTTGTATTAAATAATTTGACGGTAAAGCAGTAGAAATTAATTTAAATATTATTGAGTATAAAACTGCCACAAAGATCACCTAGATTTTTAACAAAAATCAGTGTAAGGTTTATTCAAGCTTTCGATAAGAGACACTTATCATCATCAGGAAAAACAAAAAATTGAAATGAAATCTCTCTATATATAGTGTGATTGCTAATTGATAGAAACTCGATGGAAAGAGAACAAGAAAAAGCTAATACTAATTGAGAGACTATCGATAGAGAAAGGAATAAGGAAGAACTAATAATAGTCTTATGTGAAGATATTTAATTTAAATTTTACGTCATTTAGCGATTTTCCTTGCATCTGGTGTGTAAGGGGAAGGTAAGGGCTTCTCCACTCGGTCACTCTGATATCACCTCAGCATACCGTAATATGGGATTGGCTCGCAAAGCTACTCTTATATGATAGTATTTTTGACAACAAAATGTTGAAGGAAATAATGAACTAGTTGAATGATAATATGGATCTTTTAAGAATGAAAAACATACTCGATATCGATTAGCATGATCCTGCTAATTTCTGAATATAATTTATATAATATATTATATAATATAATTTAAATAATAAGATCTGACGATCTTTGCTAATTTTGCCGGATCTTGTAATTAAATTTTCTGCCAAACCAAATCTTCTCCCAACAGTAGTATAAAGATTCTGCTTCTTGAAAACTCTTGAACAAGACCTTGATCAGATTCGCTGCGTCTTTTTTTGAGTCTAACGTATCTTGAGAAGTCTGTTTCAAGAATCTTCTGCAGATCTTGAAACAGACTACTCAGAATACGTTAGACTCAAAAAAAGACTCAGTGAATCTGATCAATGTTTTGCTACATCTGGCTATTTCTAAACGTTTTTTATGCCTATTTGTACTAGTTCAATAAGATGATAGATTTCGATACTCCGTATTTATTATTGATACAAGAAAAAGTTCATCTGAAATATCCATCATTAGGTATCATTAATAAAGTGATGTAGAAGAAATATAGTTCTTGGGGAACTCTTTGATAAAAATCTTGAGATACGCTCTCTAAAACTAGACTGGTTTTAACTGAAACCACCATAATGATGGATATTTCAGACGGACTTAGTCGAAACCAAATACAACATTGTAAAAGTATCTAACATTATATTCAATTTTTGATGTTTTTTCGTTCCCGCAAACTAAGCACCACAATTGTAATATTTTCGTATTTCAGCAATATCGGTTTTTGTCAATACGTCACCACCCAGTTTAGCACCAGATTGTTTCGGAATCATTGTCGGCTTTCCATTGGTGCTAAATGCTGTTGCCCCATAGTGCATGATACTTGTGTAATCGTAGGCGAATCCTTGATTTTCTACATCTTTTCCCCATGTGTACTTGTTAAAATTGTGTTCCTACCAAACACCAAACATAAATCTTTGCTCTCTGGTAAATACCCTAAAGCTTACGTACTTGTCCGGCTCCAACATTACTATAATCGACGGTAATGTACGAATCACGATCCGGTCTAGATTGTTCGTGCCAGAAGCCTATGTAAATCAAATATAAGTTGTTTTCCATGTGAAGTGACAGTATTTTTCGTACCCAAAACATGTAATAATTCATGTATTATGGTGCCTTGATGGAAACAATGGCCCTTCCCAGGAGCTGCTTTTTGTAGTGTAAGCCTTTTCGCTCCGTTCCAGTTCATTCCAACCTAAAACAATTCTTACTGTTGCTTACAACTGATTCGAAATGTATCGAAACTTACTGTTGCACTACAGCCTGTGCCATACACAATGGTGAGAAAGGTCTGATCAATCGGCTGCTTTGGACGAAAACTGACGCACAAGGAGCCGGTGTCCAACGTTATCTTGTGCATGGCATCCTTTATTGTCTGTTGATCTTTTGCATCTGCGCAGTATAATGATCGCATTGAATTTTCTGATACCGTAAAGATGCATAGTACTGACCTGTAATGGCTGACATGTCGTAGGGAACAACACCTCTGGTCCAACGTGCTGGTTGTCCAAGCTGTGCTACACCTCGATCGTCAGTCGGCAATATAATGTCACCCTCAAGCCCACCACCTAACCGAAAAAATCTTCAAGAAAAACTAAATGAATGGTTTTAGATGTTCTCACCGAGTAGCTTCGGATCCTCAGCCAGACTTGTCTCTGATTCCGGAATGTCAATCTGGTGTAATAATCATTCAGAGTACATACACAGATAACTTATGTTCTCATACTTACTCGGTATGCATTTAGACTCGGAAGGTAGATAAAAGCACAAATGCACAATAAAGTGGTAGTCAACATCATGGAAGAATGCTGAAGCTATTAGGACCAAACACAGAAGATATAAAGTGAGAAGTAGTTCTGTGATGCCGTGCGTAGAACGCTAAGAGTTTAAGCCTTTTAATCAATGTTTTTTAATTGTTCTCTTACATTTACTGCGATTTCAAGGTCATTGTAAGCCAAAGATCAATACTCTTATTTTTCCAAATTAGTTCTGTTGATCAGATACTTTCGTAGAAAAAAAGGGACCAAAAAGCTACATACTAAATTTCATAGGCACACTCTAAAATTTGCGAGTCTGATATATTGCGTTGATAAATGGTCAATTGAGTCGAATGCTTACACACAAACATCATTTTTATTCCAAACACGATTTTGATATATCCTCTGGTCCAGCTAACAATCCCCGCTTAAAACAGAAAATGGACTGCATTGCAGCTGCTCATTTTCTTTAGGACTATCCGCTTTCTCCCATTACAACGGTGACTTTCTTAGAAATCATTTTTTCTGATGACACCTATGATGCAGTAGAAGTGCGCTTTAATGAAAGTTTTTTTAATGAACATCACCCAATCCGCCTGTGTTTGAAAAAGCTTTGGCTGTTTAACATGCGTACGGATGATTTTTGCAAAGTGAACAAGGAAGAATTATGATCTGCAGTTGCCAAGCTGAAAAATGCATTGTTGCGCAAAAACGAAGTTGTTTACTGTTTTGTTTATATATTTTTTCTAAAAGTTCTACATTATATTATTTTAACAAATATTTATGTTCTTTATATTACTGTACTTGGAAGCCAAATCAATATGACTATACAAACAGATCCTTTCAGACTCTTAACATTTAGGGGTTTAGTAACGTAAAAGACCTATCTTTTTCTCATTAACACTTAACCTCTAAAATTTTTCCTTATAGACCCCTCTTCCATCTATAAATGGCTGAAATGGAGAAGATTTAAATTGGGAAGACTCAGATGGGGAGGATTCCAATCATCAATTCCATCTGCAATACACTTTCAACTCCACTCTACGTTTTCTTGTTCTTTCTCTAAGGGTTATAGTGTCTTTTCTATACGCTTTTACTCGTCCTCGCTAACTATCCAGGCAGACTTTCTTATTTTACACTTTCGTTGAATTAGACGGATTTCGACTCTTTCTTCTTAGCTTTCCTTTTGAGAACATTCAAACTTCTCTTCGTTTCTTTAATCTAATAGGCCTTCTTATTCTTTTCTTATTAACTATTGGAACCTAAGTCCTTATGCCTACATACATTTCTTTACTACATCACTTTATCTTTATTTTACTCATTTCTTAGCGTGTCTTCTTCCTTATCTGATTTGACTTCTACCTACACTGTAAAGTCGGGAATTATTTATAGAAAATGTTCATCGATTTTCAAAAAGTCCATATATGAAATCCTCACGGATTTTCCAGATTATAGATAATCGCATTTCCAATAATGCGCCTCAGTGAATTTCCATCTAGAAAATCCTCAGGGATTTTATATATGGACTTTTCGAAAATCAAAAAGTCGTATTATTTTCTACTGAGGAAGAATGCTGATAATCAGAGACTTGCAAAGTGAAAATGGCTGAAGATGAACTTTTTCACCATTATCAAAGGTATGAAACTCCAAAGTTGTGTGGGGTATATTATTCCAGTGTATTATATGACAATATGAATCTTTTACCAATGAAAACCAAATTCGACATCGATCACGTATCGAACGACCGTTATTTTATTTAAAAAATGATAAAATAAATGTGAATTGTTGGATCATGTCGTTGAATTAATAGAACCAACTACATCTTTGGAAGATGCTAAATTCAAACGTAAAAATGAGGAATATTAGCAAGAGAGAATCGTCTTGCGATCTTCAGAAAGTTGCGGCGGAACTCGACTTTGTCTTAATCAGGCCTAACTCCAGCACCTTTTCAGTATCTCATTGTGATCTCTAACTGTCATACAATAATACTTCTCGAAGAATATGCTAACGGGTGATTCAGAAATAAACGGACTTTTTTAATTTTGCTATAACTTTGTCAGTTTTCATCCAATCGACTTCATTTTTTTTTATTAGATTCCAATCATCTCCAAATTGTCAATATGTATGTCCAATCATCTCCAAATTGTTTATCACCGTATTTTTAGCAATTGGATATACTTCATCAATGTAACGTTGACGATTCATGGTGCCGTTTTCAAAAATTAGCAATGGTGTAATTCCTTTCGAACAAGCACCTAACCACACCATGACTTTTGCTGGAAACTTTTGTTTTTTGCTTGATTCCACCGTTAGCATCAGCTTCAGAACGATCTACTGCCCAGATTCTATCATTTTGCCGATTGTACATACAGTCCAGATCGAAGTATTTTTTAACAGAAAACAATATTCGTGAAGTTTTTGTTTTATTGAAATTGTTCAAAATTCAGTCTGCAGATTTAATTCTCTTCACTTTTTGAAGACCGGCAAGAGCCGGTTCGACACGTCTCTTGTAAGCCTTCAATCCGAGATCATCTTTAAGCATTCGAAACACCGAAGTTTGAGAAACGTTCAATTCCGCAGCCAATTTTCTTGTTGATAGTCGTTTTTTCCGTTTAAGTCGACTTTTGACTTTCTGAACCATTTTTTTTTTATCTCGCAGTACGTGTACGGCCAGGAGGATACGATAGCTGAATTCGCCCTGTCTTGCTGATCATTTTGCACCATTCGTAAACTTGACTTCTTGAAATACTTCCCTTCAAATCACAGAATATTTGTGATGGTGTTATTACTTTTTCATGTTTATAAAGTACCAGTTTCTGCAAGTGATTACTTTTCAGTTTCTAAAAAATTAATTTTGAAAGATCTAAGAAAGAATGACACATGGTTTTGTAGAGAATTTCAAGGGGAATCTAATAGAAAAAAATGAAGTCGATTGGATGAAAAAACTGACGAAGTTATAGCAAAATTAAAAAAGTCCGTTTATTTCTGAATCACCCGTTAATTTGCAAAAATTGAGGGAACTTTCCGAATCTACTAACATTTTCGATGTTAAATACTACAACGAGCAGAGATCTGTTACAGAACAACTTGTTGCAATGTAAGCTTTAAAAAAAATCCTTGGCGATTTTCCAGATCGATTTTCTATAAAGTAGAAAATAATTCCAAATTACAGTGCACTTCCGTCCCCAGATAAATAAAGTTTCCCACCTTCTATCTTTGGGAATATCTCCGGGATCTTACAGTAATTTCTACGCGTGCATAAGACTTTAAAACTCTTCGTTCACATGTAGGCGGGCTTTCTAATTCTTTACTTCTTCGTTACTGTGGCTTTTTCTGAATCTCCAGAAACTGTCAGACATTTTCTCCTTTCTCTCACTCCAGCTAAAAATTTCTATGCTTCCTTCGCTTCACTTTTTTCTTTTTCGATTGGAGTTAGTATATCTCTGTATAATTAGGGGACTTCACTTTTATCTCTAACTCTCTCAAACGACTTTAGTTCTTCTTTACTCGAAAAAACGCAAGTTTAGCTTCAAACTATCGCTCGAAACTTTGTTTACGAAACATTTAGTATGCGTCAAACGCGATTCTCGTGCGCGCTTTTTCTAACGAATTTCTCACGGTAAATTTATCATAAACGGAGTTTCGCGTGATAGTTTGAAGCTAAACTCGCTTTTTTTAAGATGACTATGGCAGACTGGGTAACTCTACTACCGTAACAGAATTCCGTAGCGTTCTTTTGTCATTATGTTTTGCCTATAATTCGTAGACTGACTGCCATAAAGTACCGCGCAATAGTTTAAACTGAAGCGCAAAGTATACTTAACGTTCTAAGACGTTTTTCAGCTTTACAACATTTATCATTAAAAAGCTGTAGTCTAAACATTGGACACTGGTCCTACAAAAATTAATTTCAAAAAAATCAAAAACTAATTTCTAGGTTACAGCTTCTTAACGATACATATTGTAAGGTTGAGAGACGTCTTAAAACGTTAAGTATACTTTTCTCTTCAACTTAAGCTGTCCCGCTATACTTTATGGCAGTCAGTTTACGAGTTATAGGCATAACAGGATGATAAAAAAACGTTACGGAAATCTGTATTTCGACTATTGACCCATGTGGGCATATTGCATAGCCATTGTATAGCCCTTTCAATTCTGCATCTTTCTACGTATAAATCAATCCGGTTCTGAGTGTGTTGACAAAAGTAGAATCAGTTTTTGTTGGTGACTACGGGTAAAATCGAGGTACCTGTCAAGTATATGTCCAATACATCTATAAAGACATTAGTTTGAAAAGGTGTACTACGTATCATTTTAAAGCCCGTTTAATTACGCATGTTTTCGTGTATAAGATTGTATTAAGAACGTCGGGCTTTCAGAGAAAAATGAATAAACAGACTTTCTGGACCCACTGTGAGAGTCACTATAGTTGTCGAAGAAATAATGCAGTCAGAGTACTTTTCTCTATCGATTTATTTTTGCCAGAGATGTCTTGAGTAGCCACCAGTATGACTCAGAGTCTAATAAGAGTCTCGTAGTATTTTCAATGCCTTACATATGACTATGTGATTTATCCTTGGCTGTTGGGTGATTAAGGGTCTTGACCATACTTAGTGCGTTGTGCGTTTTTGATATATTAGTCATGTGTAGCAAATGCACTGGCCTCCGATTCATCCTTTTTCCTCTTTTTTTGTGTAGTCCTCTTTTTTGTCCTCTTTTCAAGTAGGTTCTCCTCTTTTTCCAAGAATATTAAAGAATAGCATCGAAATCTGAAAAAAACAAATAGAAATTACCTTGAACGAACACACTATACAGAGATAACTTTTTTGAAGATTCTCTATGTTATACACTGAATTTATTTCACCATACCCAGGTCCATGATTACGACCGTCCTAAACGGTCGTATACGTCAGATTATGATGACGTAATTTGACGTATACTGTAGTATTTCGTCGTATTTTGACGTAAACCCGGCTAACGTATTACGTCAGCCGTTATAACCGCCGTATTTCGTCGTATTTGAACATAAACGACGTCGTTTACGCTGGACGTACTATGTTGGCCAGGTTTACGTTAAAATACGACGAAATACTATAGTATACGGTGAATCTTTTACCTAGGTTGATAAGTATTGCCCATTATAAAAATCCGTGCGTGAGACAATTTTTTGAATAAGCTTTGGTAGGAATGAGGTAAAGACCTGCGGTTTTCGCCATTCGAAAGAGGAGAATGAAGACATGTTTTCATAACCAAAATTGTTTTTAGAAGAGTTTTCTGAAATAGGTTTTCTAGGAGATCTTTGAAAAACTAGGCCATCTGTAAAGATTTTTCAATAGGATCGTATTGATTTTTTTCATGGGCGGATAGCTCGGGATGTCCTTTGCAAAATGAGAGTAAAGTGAGGCCTTAATTTTCCGTGGTTCGGGCGTTGTATCGGATTTCCTATGAGTCGAGGGACTGGCATCCGGTGACTATTGGTAGCCTTAGAGCCTATGATGGACTATGGGTAACCGACCATACTGAGTTTCGTGAAAATCTTTGTTTTTAGAAAAGTTTTAAAGATCTAGCGAAGAGCGAGTTTTACGAAAATTAGAGTTTTCAGTCTGTTTTCACTTAATATTAAAAAATTGACTATTCACTCAAACAACATCAGAACAAGCTCAAAGCCTCAGGATATGATTAAGGCTGTCCGGTAAACGTAATTATAAGAACGAAAAAATCTAAAAGGATATTCTGGTTAATAGATTTTCCAGAAACCCTTAGTCACTGATTCAAAGATGTATATATCCTGTTTTGTTCAGGAACAACTGCATTTTAGTACTGATTTCTTTCTGACTTATTATTTCAGACTTGATTCATATGATCTTTGGCGAAAAACTTCAATTTTTCAGCAGAACGGGAGTTTCATACAGGCACGTAATGTCCGATAAGTTGAGTTTTGACCCAAAATGACTTGTCACAGCGGTTTTCGAGCTGACGAATTCATTCCTCTTTTTTTACTTCAAATCCTCTTTGAAAAAAATCACGAATCCTCTTTCATTCCTCTTTTTTCAAAAAATTGTAATCGGAGGCCAGCAAATGCACCCAAGCTATTTTTTTCCAAAAAACAGCGACTTAGAGGTCAGCAGCAAAAAGGTTCAGCAGCTGTCAAGTAAAATACTTGACTACAATCTATATACTCCGATCAGGATAAGAGTATTCTTTTTGTATTCCAAACAGAATATATATCCACATGAAAATATAATCTCTGGTTCTCTACCATCAGTGGCAGATTTTAATCAAAACAAAGGAAAGAGTTATGAAAAACTTAGAATGCAGACGTCAGCGAAGACTTAGGCTGAAGTTTTTCTTAAAGATCGTTCATTTTGAGTGTATTGGGTATGCTTAAAGTTTAATGTTCGCACATTTTTCATCTACATAAAAGTGTCGCTAAAAGTTTAAAAAGGAATGAGGTAAATCCAAAACTTGATGCTCTTTCCGAGAATGTTTAGACTTTATCATGGGGAAATAACAGATCCCGTGCATGCATTCGGATCCGAGATCGAATTTTTTCGCTGTTGAATATTACTGAACATCTTTACAGAGGTTCCGTGTTTTCAAATAATTGAAACAACTTTTGACTATAAAATCATTTTCGATTGATATATTAATATAAGCATTGTCATTTTCTTGGATAGGGACTTTTTATACAAAAGTTCTAGACTGTGCTCTTAAAAGTTTCTTGTTCAAGTGATTATGATCTATACAACCGATACTGTTACAGTCTGGAATAATTGTTCTTGCGTAAGAAACTACCAAAGAGATCAATTCTGCCGAATAGAAAGATATCAGGCGTTGGAAGTCCATTATTCAGAGATGTTAAAACTTATCGTTAATGGGTCGTTAAACAGAAAAACTCACAAAACTTTCAACAAAGTGTAAAAGAATTTTTTTGTCACAAGTTCACTTGAATGAGAGATTCTGTAACATTGTGACTGAAATATTGCTTTTCTAATCAGTGAATAACTGGTCCTTTATATAGCTTATAATTGTGTCTCTAAAGACCATTGTCTCATATATAAATGCCGGTTCGTGGTAGTTTAACTATTTGTGATCTTTTGATCGCCTTAAATAAATATGGTTTTTACCATTAATCTTATCAACTTTTTCAACAATAAAATTCCAGTTATCCGGTAATAATACTTCTTCTTCTTTCGGGAAAACTGAATTTGATGATATATCAAGCGCTTTTGAGTGTTCATCTATAATATTAATAATGAACAATGTGTCACCAAATTCTTCAGCTTTACTTCGACTTTTTGATGTTGATGTAAATGCCGACCATGATCTACAACCTTGACCAACAGCTTTCAAATAATCTTGTATCATATTATCGTGAAGTTGTGCTCCTCTATAAAGATAGCCAGTGTAATACTTATTTTTTGTATTTGCCATTGCGATATCTAATAAATAACAAAATGGTCCTAATGTTTTAACTTTTGTCATATCGTTTTCTCTCAATGTTGTATTCAGCATTTTATAAAGAAAACATTCTTTCGTATAAATGTATATCACACAGTGATCAATTTCATCTTCATGTTTAATGTGATTCAATTGTTCCGCACACCATTTAGCATCAGTAATCTCACCAACTTGTTCACCTTCTATAAGAATGCCATTACCTGCTTGTTTAAGAACTACATCCGTATTTCCAGAATCCTTAAAACTGTTTATCCATGAATTGACAAATTCACACCTTACGCTATAAACACTAAATGATTGCGTTAATTTAGGTGGAACAAAAAATCTTTCATGTCTTAAATTCTGTTCATGATCAATTAAGACTCTTTTAATTTCTCGTTGTTCTGAACCACACGGTTTAGTTATTTGGAGCATCTTTTCAAAATCTATCCAATAATTTTCTAATCCAACTTGTTTTTCTTTCTTTATAAATGCTTCTTCAATAATGTCATTATCAATGTCAGAATATTGCGTCCATTGTGGGGTTTCACGTGGATCGAATGGATTTGGATTTGATTTCCAATGCCATATGGCTTCTTTTGATAAATTTGGTTTAGCTAACCGTTTACCTACGCCTTCTGCTGATGAATGTGGTTTATCTGACCGTTTCCATACGTCGTCCGCTGATGAGTTTGGTTTATCTAACCGTTTCCATACGCTCTCTGATGATGAATATGATTTATCTGACCATTTCCGTAGGTCCTCAGCTGATGAATTTGGTTTATCTAACCGTTTCCATACGCCCTGTGCTGATGAATATGGTTTATCTGACCGTTTCCATACGTCGTCCGCTGATGAATTTGGTTTATCTAACCGTTTCCATACGCCCTCTGCTGATGAATTTGGTGTTCCTAACCATTTACAAAATAAAACAAGGGATATAAGTAAATGTGAATGTAAAAGTAACATTCCAGTAAGTGTTTTTTTCTGGGATTTAGTAATTCGTTAAACTCCCGGCGGATAATAAATTTATCTTCAACAAAGTAGATTTGGCTTATACGAAACTATTAGGCATGTTAGTGATACTAAAGATTGATAATGAGGTTTCATTTGAAGCGCCATGCATAACTGTTAAGGTGGAAACACCATAACAACTCGAATATTGTACGATAGAGTTGTTTTCAAGATGTTTTCCTCCGAATCCAGAAAGATAATGTTTAGGGATTTTCCAGAGATCAGACTCCTAGAAATTTTGATAGAATTCTCCTACATATCTCTTCTGATTGGAAATTCTTCTATCTACTCAAATCACTCGCTGTCTTTCGTGTAGCTATCATGCGTGATTCTAGAAAAAAGGCAGAAGGACTTGAAACTCCTGTCCAACAGTTCAGTATAACAAAACTTAATTTTAACTTAGTTAGTTGTATGATCATATTCGGAGGGATAAAACCATCACTGTTATACTCTCATAAATATCTGTAGAGACATTCCTAAGAAAAACTTTAGCAAAAATTAATTCACTAACGAGAAAAGCACATCAAGTGTGACTTTGATTTTTCCTTTATACCATTTGATTATTGGTAATTTTTAATGCTGACCACGAATTTGATATTCATTTGTTCGTGTAAGACTCTTCAGAACTTCTGCTCAAGGTATGAAAATTTAATTTTTTATTGAGCCATACTCTTCTCAATAAAGAAAGAGGTACTTGGTGAAAACGCGTTCTTTAATTCTCAAAACTTTTGCAAATACATAACTTGATATGTTCTAGAATTCGGTAATATCAGAGTTTGTTCAGACGAGAATTCATGATAGATTTCTAGAGTCATAGAATTTAAATAGAAGCTCTGAAGGGGAGCAAATGAGTATCAAATTCGTGATCAGCATTATAAATTATCCACAATGAAGTAATTTGAAGCAAAAAATCGAAGTGACCCTTAATAAAGTCGTAAGCCGAAAAATAAGATGTAATGTACCGTAGTGTATTCTCAATTTTGTCTGACAGATATTTCGGCACATAGTAGAAAGCAAATACTACTCTGTTTATTTCTCAAACGACAAAGAAGGTTTTTGTCTGTGTTTTACTAAACTCTTTTATTTGAGAGAATTGTCGTGGGGTTTTTTAAGCTAAGAAACTCCTATAAGGTTTATTACAAAACGACAAAAAGTTCATGAGAAAACCTAAGCTTTTTTACTCAAAATACAATATTCCTAGGGTTTATTAATGCAAGTCCGATACTCGTTTAGGTTTGTAGAATGTGTGATTTTAGAAATATAAAGGATATTTGAATAAGTCTTATCGATAACAAACCCTTCAGCGTTGTAGGAAATTGCCACTTCATCCTTGCGAAGTGAAAATGCTAAACGGTAGGAGTGTTCGAGAATACAAATCTTTCTTACAGTGAGCGGTAGGATGATCGAAAACGGTATATAAGTTAAGGAAAAGCGCAAACAAAGTGTAAAAGTTTGTATTCATTATTCATTTTTGACGGACAATCGAACACAAAGAGTTTCATAAAAGAAAATTTTGTATTAAAAGTGTTAACTTTAACTGAAGGAGGATGAGAAATAGAAAGACACCATCCTAAATAACGGTAAAAAACATGCGACTAAAATCCCACGTTGTGTGTTTAGCACGAGTTCTGTATACTAGAATGTGCTTGTGGCACCGTACTAACAAAAATCTATTCTTTAACTCAATGTTTCTACGAGTTTCAAAGAACAATCAAATGAATTAGAGGATTATTTCAGCCAAAACATGATATTTTCTCAGTTACTCTTCCACAAATCACACAAGTAATGGATTTTCGCTACCGGCGATAGTGACGATAAAAGGAAAGTGCTACTCCTATTATCGATACATTGAGGGATGTTTGACAAAAAAGAAGATTAATAAATTAGGTATCAGATCTCCTTTCTAGTAGGAGAAAATTTGGCACAAGTCGCATTTCGACGACTCTGAGGTCTAAAACGGAAATAATTTAAAACGAAAAACATTTTATCTGAAAAAAAAATAAAACTTTTTTGATTTATCGATGTTGATTGTATGTATTGTCTACTCACAAATAAATCAGTGAATATAAAATGCGATTAACAGCTTGATATTTAAGCCTCATTTCAACTACTGACTTCGACTATTAAACTTTTTCTCGAGTAGGGTCCGTACGGACCCCAACTCAATTTTCAAGTATAGAGAGGAAAATTTTCCATCAACTTGTACAGTAAATGTGGGTAATATTTTGCAGAAGATTATAGAAATAGATTCTAAAGAAGACCATCTTTTCGTACCATTATCTCGTAACTTTTCTTTATTTCATCTTTTTCTTTTTATCTTCGTCAAACGGTTCAAAACAAGAATTACAAATGATCTTGTGATGATGTGGACAGCAAGGAAAATGACAGATGGAACATTGCGTAGCAACTTTTTTATCTCGCACTCTTGGACAGAGGTGACATCGTTGCTTTCCGCTCACTCCAGATGCAGTAGTGATTGGACTGACGATTGAAAGTCCGAGCTTTTGCATAGCCGGTCGAACGTTTCGCTGAACTGTATACGGATTCTGAGAACGTTGATTCAAATTTTTGGAGCGCACTCATCTATCCGATGGAAAGCCCAAGCACAAAAATTTTTTTTGGAGCTAGCTTAAGCTAGCTAAAAGGGAACAATAAGCTAGCTTAAGCTAGGTAAATGTTCCTTTTAGCTAGCTTAAGCTAGCTCCAAAAAAAATTTTTGTGCTTGGGAGCATAACATGACAATATAGTTCAACTATACATTTCAGAATGATAAGGAATATTCCAGAACATTGTAGTATAATGACACAAAGGTTGAGTTCAATTCACTTTCAGAAACTTATAAAATAAGATAGAACCTTCTAGAATATTCTCTAGAGCTGGATGAGGCATAAAATACTTAATTGAAACGATATCTCAACAATAATCCATGTGTAATTAGTTCTACTCTCTGAGGTTCGAGCGGACCCCAAATGATGAAAACACGTTGATGCGTACTTCTAGCTCTTTTATTATATTGACGCTGTTAGAATCGAAGACACTAATATAATCGATATGCTCGTCTAACTTTCGTTAGTACATATCTAGAAGATGAGAGATTGATCTGTTACTGTTTGAGGAAAAAGAAGCATAATATTCGATCTGGGGCCCCAGATGGTGGACTGAGGGTTAATCATACCGCGGTATGGAAAATAACCGTCGGTAAACCGTATGATACATCGAGTGGTTCGGTAAACCGCAGGCAACCGGCAGTATTTAAAAAAAGACACGACATGGGTATACAGCACGTTGAGCTACCTACGTATAACAAATTTTAGGAATGACAAGCAACTCTTTCTTTTACATACAGGTAACTCAACGTACTCTGCAATCCTGAGCTGTGAATTTATTCAGCTGAAAATCCACGATAGGTCTTCAGAGTTCCCTTTTCCAGAGATCAAGAGAGGCCTAAAGGCAAGAACGGATATTAAACTCCGAAAACTGGCAAAATCTTCCGACAAAGTATGTTTCGGCGAAGAAGTGACTGGGCAGCTGAGGAGATTATCTCAACAGTAAAAGATTTCAGACCATAATACATTTCGCATAATAGATTCTATGGTTATGGAAGTAGAGAGAAATGTTTTTTGGATTTGTTCAGATGACTAGAATAACTTCGAATACTAAAAACAAACTTACCATTCTGATGGTCAAATACTAATTGTCCATTGATGTTGGAAATATAATCATTTAAGTTTATTTCAGCATAAACTGTGCATCCGTCTATTTTCTTTGCGTTGCATGATAACCAACCATTTGGATTAACTCTAATATCAGTACATAATTGTTCAAAATGACCATCATACTTTTGGATCAATTTGCCATCAAGGTTTGCAAACCAATCAGTTAAATTTAACTCTGAATTAATATTTTCCCCCTGCATATTTGTACATTGTGCATAAAGAAATCCATTAGAATAATGAATATTATGAGAAGTCTTAGAAAATCCACCCATTTTAATTTGTTGCTTTCAAAAAATCTATATATCTAGACGATTCTTTTATCAACTGAAAATATTCAAAACTAGACTGAATAAAACATTTGAACACATGGCTTCGGAACCCTTGCCAACACGATATTAGGCTTAGGTCATACAAGTCCAAAAAGAACAAAAGTAAGAAACAGCAAACTTGAGACAAAAAGGAACATTTGAGAACACACAGTTCGTCCTTTCGCCATAAGTACTCAAAAACATGTTTTTTCGCTGAACATTTATTGTGCAGGCTTCAAAACTCCTCAGAAATGGGTGAGTACAAGTATTGCTCTTACTCGAGTACACGATTTGCGATACTCGTACTCGTACTGTTTAGTGATTACTCGAAAAAGTATTCAAGTCTTGATTTTAAAACTTTTTATGAAATTCCTAATACATTTCTCAGACAATATCGGATTTCTTTTAGAAACATGGTGATATAAAACAAGGAGCAATTGTTCAAATCTTTCAAAACTCTTTGTTGCTGAAACATAACACGACTTTGGTTTTCTTTCAAAATACCTATGATACTGATTTTTCTTGTAATTGTACTCGAGAACCCGTATACTCGACGATCTCTGAAACTCCTGCGAGTTGTGTACAGGGCTTCCATTAATCTATCCATCATTTCGAGAAGGAGAACCATAATCTAAGTTTAGTTTTGCTGAAAAATGACTACATTCGATTTATCATAATAAGAAATCTTTCAATCCAAAGTTTTAACTTCAGAGACCTATTGGATGTTTACATTCGAAGAGCATCTAGGAGCCATTGCACATAAGCCACGACAGTGGTCTCAACTTGTAGAGTATGTTCGAAAACCTATAAGTCCAAATTTGTAGGCTTCCCGAACTTTTCGTTCTGTAGATATGAAATGTTTTCGACTGGGGTTAAGTTCGAGAAGTTATGGGCCTTAAACACGTAAATTTCGTTTTTCTCATGAACAAGAAGAGATGGAACCGTTATTTTTTCAAGGTAGATAGTACCTGATGTCTACCATATAACGACATACAAATATTACGTTTACCTCTCACCCCACACATTACAGCAAGGCCGAAATGGATTTTATGACCAAAGTCGAAGTAAACAGTCTGCGTAAACATTGAGTTTGAAGGTTTTTTTCTTGCAGTAAAGAACACATAGAGCATTCACATTCATACCAAATCTATATTTGGAGGAGAGCACTTGAGACTAACAATGAAAACAATAAAAACACAGGTAAATTGAGACTTTTGTTCATAGAACATACAAAAAGCACTACTGTTGCCGATAAGTTTGTTTGTTTAGTAAATGTAACTGTTTTAATTGTTCAACTGCTCTCAAATCTTCCTCGTCTACTTCACTTGTGTCACTATCACTGTCGTTAGAGTCTGATGTATCAAATTTATAAATTGGTTTGGAAATACGAGACCGGTGCGGACGATTTGAAGGAGTCATAGTAGTGGTAGCAGAAATTTTCTTTGGAATTTGGTGGAGAGAACCTCGATCACCTCGTTTTCTCGAAAGATTCGTTCTGGAAGTGGTTGCAGCAGCTGTCACTGCTTTTGGATCTTGTACGGTTGATATTCGATTACGTTTGTTAACAATAGTCTTCATTTGATTTTGCACCTATGTACACAAAGAGTACAGTGGCAAAAGAGAGCAAAGTAGAATAGTTGCTTGATGACATACCTGACTAACAGAGAGATATTGATCAGTTCGAAACATTTTCGAGCCGGCTGAATCACGAGCTTTCTGATTCTCACAACAAATTCTTCTACAGGCATCTTTCTGCCGTACTTTTTTTCTTCTTGTAGAAGCGATAAAATAATTTGTTTTATTTCTTCGACAATGGGTTTTGAGGATTTTCGAATTCGCAACGTCCAGCCTGCTTTCGAAAAATAATCCATACGTTTTGGTACATGTTAAGGACGTGATGTTATGGTTGTAGTAGCAGATAACGTATAATTATCCGTATCTCCACTACGCAGTTTGTCGAATAAAATTAATTTCGCTTGATCATTTGAACTTACGCGACTATCGTTTGTTGTGTGTTCGCCCATCATTAAATGATCGTTAAGATCTTCTTCGAATTCGAATGTTTCGACACACGAGTCTTCAGTACAGAAATAAAAAGACCTGTAGCGTCTGTCATCACGTGATTGTGCAGAGGAATTTCGACTCAACGTAAAGTTAGTAGATTTATCGAATGACTCTATTAATTTCATATTATTTCAATGCCAAGATTTTGATAAGCAATTAAATGACCAGCATCAATTCCAGAAGCCTTTCTCAGAAGCATACCATTCAGCGAATATTCAATATCACGTATATTACTGATTTCAGGAATTTTTCCACGCGGTAAACCGAAAAGTTCTACTGAATCCACAACTCCGACTTTAAGATTCTTTACGCCACCACAATACTCCATGCCTGAAAATATTCACAATGAAAACAACTTCAAGCAGAAAAAAGAAGGTCAAAAGTACTCCGCACCTGTCTTAATAGCGCTGTCTTAATGATGCGACAAACAGGCTCATTACTTTTTTGCCGAAATATTGACTCTGTCCTTCGACGAATTCTTGAAGTAAAAATTTATCCCCAGTCAACAGTCATCCACGCTGTTACCATATCCATTTCAGACATCATTTTCGATTTTGATCTATTCTGTTGTACAGCACGAACTCTGTGTCTCATTAGTTTCAAAATGTAATCACGTGAAACACCAAAATCATACTTGAGTTCATTACGCTGTTCTTGATCACTGTCATTCTCAATCGCTGACTCAATATCATGCTTTGAACATAGTTATTAAATAGCCTAACAATTGTTCATCAACGCTAGACGAATGACTTATAAGACGTTTTCTTGTTGAGAACAGGTGTTAAGCCGGATAAATTGATCAAAACGTCTCCTTGGCCCGGAGCTATTGTGTTCGCTAGCTCGGAAGTAACAGCAGCGACAGCGGATCTCAATTTTGCTGTTAATCGAGGTATAGCACCAGGCGTTTGAACTTGGAGCGGTAGTGTTGTTTGAGGTTTAACTGGACTTTGTTGCACTGTCGTTAAAATTCCGTTCGCATGTTCTCTGGTTTGTTCTTGTTCGTGATGAATCTCATACGATTGAATGTCGAAAATTCGTGGTAATGTATCATCAGTAATTATTGTTTATATATCAACTTCATACAACATTTTTCAATGAGAATCACAGAGTCGTGTTCCAGGAGGAAATTTAAAAATTCGTCGAGCTAGATGAATTGGGGTTATTCGACAGTCAGCAACGCTCCCTCTCTGCTTTTTCTTCAGAGCTTTATCTCCGAATGTTTGGTTGTGATCTTTATGTACACAGAACCTGGGTACAGAACAGCCAATACCAAATGTGAATCGATGTAATGGACATACTTTTAGATCTGACGTTTCTGTATCAATTAGACGCGAAACGACTTGAAACCAGATCTCCTTCTGTAATTTCGTATAAAGACTGATTTGCCTTCGTTAACACACCGTGTTCAATAAAGTAACCGGACATATTTTCCTTCAGTTTCGTTAATAAAACTGAACGAAATGGCCAGTTTTCATACGTATGAAAACTCTGTTTGCGGTGATCGATACAATAGCTGAGAATTAAATTTACTACTAGTAGCACATATTTTAGCATTACAAGTTGCACTTGTATACTACAAACAAAACACTTTGATTGATTCTTGAATAATTTGGATAGTAAACATCATTACGGATGTAATAGTGCGTTGGAACTATCTGAAACGACACGTCAAGAACAAGGACATTTTCCGCTATAACACAAAAAACCGCGAATAATTAACTGTAAGATAATTTACACAAAGCCTGTTAAAGCTCTGGAGTAAACAGTTTTCTGCTATATCGAAACTGTGTGACAAAACAGAAGAAAAAACAGTTGAGAAAACGATGAGAGAAAAGGTTAACTAACCAAAATAAATCCAGTCTAGCTACAAGATCGTCCGCAAAACAGCAACTGTGCAGCTCTGCAAAAACAATGGAAAATCACTGTACTTTTCCAGTGCAGCTCCCAACTGAAGGATATCAGTCACCAGTAAGTATCTGCATGTGATACACACATAAACGACCAACAGAGGCCGCTACATCCTTGAACCTTTCCTGTAGAACCGGACCGTTTACTTCAACTTTGGTCATAAAATTTTCTGTAACAAATTTACATATCCCAAACTTTTGACGGTGATTCCAGATAGTAAACTAAGAGTATTATCTACTGCAGGTAGTCTGACTTCAGTGTAAGTTCATAATAAAGAGGTCGATCGCTCACAAAAGTGCTTCATGAAGCTCCATTTCGGCCTTGCTGTAATGTGTGGGGTGAGAGGTAAACGTAATATTTGTATGTTGTTATATGGTAGACATCAGGTACTATCTACCTTGAAAAAATAACGGTTCCATCTCTTCTTGTTCATGAGAAAAACGAAATTTACGTGTTTAAGGCCTATAACTTCTCGAACTTAACCCCAGTCGAAAACATTTCATATCTACAGAACGAAAAGTTCGGGAAGCCTACAAATTTGGATTTATAGGTTTTCGAACATACTCTACAAGATGAGACCACTTAGAAAAAAATCTGAATTGATCAGTGAGCACGCTTCTGTGAGAAACAGTCGTCTTTCTCGTGCGATGGCTCCTAGAAAGATGTTCTTATCATATTCCAAAAGGTTCAAGTCTCGTATTTGACCACAGCCCTGTAATCACTCGAAGAATATCTTACTGAATGCAGGAAAACTGAAGAGAAGAATGCTGTTTTCAAAAAAATCCTTGTTTTCCTGTAAATATGACTTTTCGTCCTCATAGAAGCCTAAGGTCAAAATTTGTCTGTTTTTGTGGTATCATCCCATTTCGTCCCATACTTGTTTAGTCTCCTCTCTTTTCGTCCCGTTTATTTTCTATCATTCTACTCATTTTATAGCTATTTATTTTTTTCTACCAATTGTATACTAATCAACGTTAATATAATTAATTAAGACAATGTAAGAAACTGATACATGGCTTTATAAGTTACATTTATTATTTTATTTACGTGTTACAATGAAATAGGTAATTTTACAGTATTAACAAAACAAACATTTACCACATTTAATTGCAAGTTCAGCTCCAGAAAGTAACATTTTCATATCTTTTAAAAATATTCAGTCAATTTCAATAGTCAAATTCAATGCACGTTCGTTATACAAAATCTTTTACACAAAACAGTCAAACGGAAGAAAGTCTACAACAAGTGTGATAATAAATTGACGGACTATTTTTGAAAGATATGAAAATGTTACTTTCTAGAGCTGAACTTGCAATTAAATGTGGTAAATGTTTGTTTTGTTAATACTGTAAAATTACCTGTTTCATTGTAACACGTAAATAAAATAATAAATGTAACTTATAAAGCCATGTATCAGTTTCTTACATTATCTTAATTAATTATATTAACATTGATTAGTATACAATTGATAGAAAAAAATGAATAGCTATAAAATGAGTCGAATGTTAGAAAATAAACGGGACGAAACGAGAGTAATTCGTTTTTACAGACGTCATCAGTTGCTATACGATAAAATGAAAGATAACTGAGAATTACTGTGTACTACAGTGTTTTTTGAAAGATCCGAATGTGAATGTTGAAGATAATGGTCGGGATTTACGTCGATGATCTGCTTTTTAGATAGATTCGAAAACTTGCTCTGAACAAAATGTTTTGACCTCTTACCTTGACCTTTCTTTACGAATACTTACATAGACGCAATTCATTAGATTCCTCGACATAACATTTAAAGTATTAGAGTGCCGCAGTTTTCAAAACTCCCGGCATTTATTTGATTTCAGAGTGTCCCTAATGGTTCAATTCAACTTTTCAATGATTATTTGCCCATCAGATAATAGGCAATTTCAAGCTCTATATAATAAATAATTAATATAAGAACGCACTCAGTGAAAGAAAACTACTCAAAATAAACTGTGAGTACTATGTAATGACTACTATGAACGAAAAAAACTGCCTATGAGTAGAATCCGATGAGAAAAAGGAATCTCGGACGAAAGAGCAAGCTTTAAAGTGAATCGAATGAGAAAAACGGACTATCTAATGGGATCCGGACGACATAAACGGACGAGAAAAATGTTTCGTGAAGGATAATCGGGAGAAAAAATGGGCTAGAAACACAGAGTGTAATGAAAAAAAACAGTGATAGAAACTCATTTTTCCACGGTCTCAACTATGTTCAGCTCAGCACCGTTCAGCTATGACGCTCCACTTCATCAAGCATAGTCACATTGAGCGTACCTTTTGTCCGCCACAGATCGTATTATTCACAGATTGTTCACACGCAGTCATATTACGGATAGCTACCCCTCTTTTTTGAAAAATTTCGGATTTTCAACTGAGCATGGCCTTATGCATCGCGGCAAATGCGCTGAAAAAGTGGCCTGTGTAAGATATGAGAAATTCAAAACTCTATCGGTCTATACAGTCGAAGTTCGACTGTTTTTTATTTTTTCGATTTATATACATGGTTGGATAGAGTTGATATAAGCTTTATTCTGTCAGAATATAAGCGGAATATATTGCGTTATAGTATTCTAAACTAAAACTATCGAAAAACACAAAATCAATTTTGTACGAATAGAGATTCGAACATGTAAATTTAGTTTGGCAGTAAACTGCCAAACTAAATCCACTGGGTAGAGTTCGTCGAGCTGATTTCGAATATGTGTGTTTTGGTCTTCCCAAAAAACTTTTTGAGGGTCAAAATCCAAAAAAACTGGAAAATTCTAAGCTCGAAAAACTGCCTTATTTTGAGAAATCACAGTATATTTTTCAAATAGTGAGGGTAAGAGATATAAGAGGGTTTTTTCTTATTTTGCATTAAAAACGAAAGCTAAAAACATAAGTCCTCTAGCATTCTGAAGGAGAAATAAAAAGAAGAAGGGAAACAGAACAGAGTCATACAGAGAAAAAAAAATTTTGCGTTGTATGTATAGTTCGGTTCGTTCCGTATTTTACATTTTACACGTGATTTGTTTCTATGACCGTGAAAAATTTTAGTCGTTTGACCATAGTGAAAGCCCTCATCGCTGGCTACAAAAGGAATCAATTTTTGTTTTATTAGAGATAGAGCCGATTTTTTTAAATGAGCAAACTCATCATATAGCCAAGGAAAAAACTCGGGATTTGTTTTACGAAATTCTCTTTTATTCCTGAGATATGATATTTTCTGATTAGTAAAAATCTTAGTATTTTTTTATATGAAAATTCAAAAAAAAACAAAAGATAGCATTAAAAAGTACATCATTCGACTCAGTTTTCCAATCAATTCTGACAATATGAAGCTTTAGTGAGTTTTGGTTTTTATTTCACGGCATTTCTACGGAAAGTCGAAAATGAGAGAAAAGGTATCCTTAAGTATACCTATTTACCGTCATCGTCATTAATATCCGCGCATTCCTTGTTAACAATCACGGTATACATACGATTTTGGAGATTCTTTTCTTTCAGTGTAGGGAATCAATGTTATGTCGAGAAATCTAAACTAATTTCAGAACTAAATACACTTGCAAAAGTGATCAGTTAATTACTGTCCATCCGTTAAACAATATATTGGTCAATAATTTAAAATCGACGCATCTTACCACCAAACTTTTAAAAGAATATTTCTCTTGTTTCGTTTGTCATAGACAAGCGATCAGTTCAACGTAAATACACTGATAATAATTCGTTTCTTTCAAACGCTCTACAAATGTTAATTTTGCCTCATCATCATTGAATAAAC